GGGATCCCGAGACGAGCGCGGCGGGGAAGAGGCACTTCCTGCCTGGGCCCCCGCCCCAGGCCGCTCCCCGAGGGCTTCGAAAAGCCGCCGACCCCGAAAAGCACCTCGGCCCCTGCCCGCCCCGAGCCCAGCCCCCGCCGCCGCACTCACCCTGAGTGCCAGTGAGGTCTGCGCTGCCAGCAGCTCTCCTCTCCTCAGCTGGGTCGAAGCCCCTCAGCCTCCGGAGTCTTCAGGTTTAGTCAGGCCCTGGCCTTGGCCCCGCCTCTCCTTGGTCGGGCCTCAGCGTCAATCACCCGGCGTGGCTCCGCCCCTTCTGCAGTCGGCTCTCCCGGTTGGCCCGCAGTACCCTCCATGTCTAGGCTCCGCCCCTCTCTCTGGCACCCGGCCCCTTCCTCCGGGCCCCGCCCCTTCCAGGGCTCACCCTCCCCCGCTCTGGTTCCAAAGCTTATACTCCGCGGCCCCCTTCCCCGGAGCCGTTGCGGGTGGGCAGGCTCTCTGCAGCTGGCTCCGCCCCCAACCCGACACCTTGCACTCGTACAGCCAATCAAGGAGGCTAACTCTGCCCCTCATCCCGAGGCGGCCAATGTGGTGAGCCTGAGCGTCCACCCCCTTCCCAGCTGAGCGCACACAACACAGCATCCACGTGAGTCAGACTCTTAAAGGAAACAGCTCCGCCTTCCTAATTGCGGCAGCTGGGATGCTAGGCTCCTTATCAGTTTTGCCAGGTGGCTGCTGAAGCCTCAGCTTCCTGATGCCCAGGGAGGCCTAGTTGTCCAATGAAAACAGGCGGTTTTCAAGGTACTTAGGTTAGAATGCACTCTAGATTGAAAAATCTGGAGTGTCATGGCTTCAGGCCACTTCCTCTTGCCGTGCCTTACAAAGAGTTATGTTTTACTTAAAAACCCCCAAACACTTGCGTCTGAGTATATAGGAAGTCTTGGAAAACATCTGTGGAAAAAAAACATTTTTCAATGTGCTTGGCTTTGTCCATGGAAGTAATTTTCAAACAAACAAAAATCAGTCTTCTGTATGGAGATGATGTTTTGTGAATTAGATTTGTTGAAAAAAGTAGTTGTGCCTTAATCTTCATCAGTGTTTACATTGAAAGATCTTACCACTCCATTAACTTTCCCAGGTAATTGTATCTCTGTTGGCTGACTTTAAGGATACAGTAAAATTTGGTGGTGCCTGTTTCTCAAAAAATACACACACACACACGCTAGAACTTGAGGTTAATTTGCCAAGTGTTTAAAATCCTTCGTGGAATAGGAGTCCTGAAGAAAATCTTAGGACTCGACTCCTTAACCCCAAATGCCCCAGTATTTTCATTCAGTTCCATAAAAGTTACCTCTGAACTTCAAAGGCAAAAGGACTAATTATTTTTGGATAAATTAGTTTTTCAAGAGATAAAACACTTTTAAACATATTTTAGGTTGTTCTCTCCAGTATGCCTTCATTTTTATTTAGCTTTCTGACAAAACTTATGTTTAGAAATGTGCACAGTAGACTCTTGTTATCACAGAATTCTTGAGGCTGAGGCAGGAGGATCAAGAATTGGGCTATATTGTGAAACTGTCTTAAATAAATACACACATTTATTATAGGAAATCATACTGCCTGGTTTCTTCTCAGTACTGGGAAGTGAGCCCAGGGCCTCACCATGCAGGCACTGGACCACTAAGCTCCATCTTTCAGCCGTTTTGAAAAATACTAGTTTGAGACAGGGTCTGGTTAAATTTGCCCACGTTGGTCTCTGACTCTCAATTGTTCTGCCTCTGCCTCGTGGGAATACAGACATGAGCATGCTGCCTCATTTCCTAAAAGACTTCTGTCCTCTGATAATGCTTTTATGTGGATCCTATTTCCAAAATGAATGTGGGTGGGAGCATGTCATACTTCTTCAGCCTGCTTTATTTCACTCAGAGTTATGGCCATTCTGTTTTTTTTTTAATTTATTTAAAAAATTTTTTATGTCTGTGTGTAGATGTGGGTGCCCTTGGAGGCAAGAAGAGGGTGTCAGGTCCCCTGAAGCTGGAGTTACAGGTGGATGTGAAGTATTTGGGTGCTGGGAACTGAACTCAGTTCCTCTGTAAGAATAAGACCTATTAACTACTCCGACATCTTTCTAGCCCTGATCATTTAAAGTCAAATATATTTTATCTACAGATTCTCCGTTGTATCTATAACTTTCCATAGTGTGACATCATCATCTGTTATTGACCTTTTCCTACCAATGAACATATAGGTTATCACTGACAAAATACCGTGTATTTTTAACATAATCATTTGAAAAAGAAGCACCGTGTCTAAACTTCAGGAAAGAACACTTTTAAGAAGTAGGTAAGGCAATGGGGAAAATATTTCGTTTTAGCAAATGCATATAAAGTCTCCTAAGTTTTAAGTCATTAAGTCTAATTTTGATAACTGTGAGGTAAGCACTATTGTCATCCCTGTCTTATAAATGAGTTAACTGTCTCATTTATTAACTTGTCCAAGATCACTTAGTAGAGTTATAGGATACAATATTTGTAAACGGGAAAAGATAAAAATATTTTATAAATGTTAATCTAGATGATGTGATGTATATAATTCAAGTCCAAGTACAAGGGAAGTGGGGAACGGAGAGGGATGGACCTGAAGGGATGAGTTTAAGTTTGGTTGCATAGATCACCCAGGTCCTGTCTTCCAAGATGATAAAAAGAAAGGAAGGTACAATGGTTTTTCCAAAAGCAGCTGCAAGCTATTCATGGTATGAACTGCTCCTGCTGTATGCCCAAGGTCAGGGCCATTTAGAAGTTGGTCATTTGAAACATAGTAATGGCCATAGCCATAGCCATCAGGGACATTTCTGAAGCAAGTGTCTTCAGCACTTCACACACACTCTGTGTGAAGTCAAATTAGTGCAGGAATGGTACTATTCCCTGCAAGGTGGTCAGGAGTCCCTGTCCTGAGGTCGGAAAGGATTGAAATTCCTCTACCAGTTTAGATCTTCTGATGCTTACCCATCACCTCCATCACAGCCCATGCAAGGACTGAAGGAAAACTCTCTCCTAGGGAAAAGAATGGAAATAAAGTTTATTTTCTTTGAAGGCTGGAGGTAGAGCTCAGTGGTAGAGCACTTGCCTAGCACATGCAAGACTCTGGGCTCAATCTCCAGTGCCAAACATTTTCAAAGGTGAACCAGAGGTATATCTAAGTGAAATAGCGTGCTAGTTTCCTATTGCAAAGTATAAGGTGCTTAGTAATGTTGACTAGAGGTAAGAAATAATGGGTATAAAATAAATACATACCAGTTCTAATAAAGAATATACAATTAAACATAATGTAAGAAAATGGAAAAGAAATGAAAAGTGTTTGAAATATATCCTATGGGCCTTTGCTAGAGTAACTGGAATAAATTGATATTTACTTGAAAAGTAATTTGAAATAAATTGATATTAATTGGAACCTTTATTATTATACTTTATTGTTTTGTGTTTTTTTTCCCGAGACAAGGTCTACTGTAGCTCAGACTAGCCTCAAAATTTGTGTGTAATAGCGAATGATCTTGAACTGATTGATCCTCCTGCCTTTACCTCCCAAGTGCTAGGATTACAGATGCATACCCCCATGTCTGGCTTTTACTGATACTCTATACCAGTAAAAATTTCCCACCAAGAGCATGTATGTTCATCAATTTATTGAAGTAT